CCCCAAAACCCCAAAACCCCAAAACCCCAAAACCCCAAAACCCCAAAACCCCAAAACCCCAAATTAATGGGGTAAATTGAATTGTTATTCATACTGTTATACTTCCCGAGTATACCAAAGTAAATTAAACAGCCCGCTTCAGCTAAATTAATGTTTATAGCAGTGTTACACTAATATTAGAGGAGAGCCATCTTGGGTTTCAGCCTAAGAGCTTCAAAGGTCAGTGGCTCTATTATATAACTAGATGCTTTGAAAATCTAAGGATGCTATTTTCTATTATTTGCCACTCTGCAAAAACATAAAATCTAGCTTCTCAAGCCCCATTTGATAAATGTTAAACGTATTTAGCCAATAAGAAGGATTTTAATTGTGACTACTCTTCTGTTGCTTCAAGAGAGCATTAGAGATGACCAAGTTAGCTCAGTCATTCACACTCTTATTCAAGAACGACTTGTACTTATTGTTCATCCTACTCTCCTTTCTGATAGAGAGTTGATTGTTTTTAGGAGACTTCGCTCTCTTTATTTCCTGTGGCATAGCAACTATTCCTTCTTTCTCATTGGATTTGAAAGCATAGAAGTTCATTTTTGCAATTCTTTCCATTTCAATATTCTCATCCATCTGCTGATCATCTTCGCTAATTGTGGAAGACTCAGGCTGATACTCCATTGTCTGCTCATCAACAGTGAGAGTGATCTTTTCTCCAGTAGCATCTCTTAAGGTCTCATAAGGCTGGAGGACCTGGCTGTCTTCCTCGTAAGCCTCTCTTCTTTTATGATTTCGGGCCTTTTTCCCCTCTCAAAACTCGAAAAGAGAGTGGCCTGAGGTCATTAATTGATTAGATTCGTCCCTTTGAATTGGAGACACTTTTCTCTTCAGCAATTTATTAAGACCTGTTAAATGGGAGGAAACCAAAGGGCCTCTGTTGCTATAAGATCTTTGAACAAGAGCTTCTGGACTCTTGCACTTCGATGAATTCTTACGTATCATGTTCTCTGAGAATATTTCTGATTTTAAATCATTGTGGTGAAGATTTTGATCTATTGAGTATTGATCTTTGTGATCATTAGTCTGAAAACCTGGAGAATGAGACTTTAGGAAACTTACAGACTCGCTTCCTTGCCTTGTGGCAACTACTGCCTCTATCACAAGGTTTAGAACATCCATTATAGTCTTTTAACATATTGCTAGTCACGTGTAGGTCTTTGATATGGTGGTGATTGTCGTTGTAATCATTATCATACTCATTTGATCATTCTAACTGACCATAATCTTCTGGATTAGTGAATCCGATGTCTGATTTTGACTCGCCTCTGGCATGTCTTCCCTTGACCTCATGCATTGAGAGGAAGGAGGAAACTGCATTTGAAACATGGTTCATCAATTCATTTTCCATTGATTGCCTCATTGAGCCGCAATGGCATAAATTCGAATTTGAAAATTCTTGTTGAGATCTCTGGCTAGTTGTAGTATTATAATTGCTTCTTAAAACTTGCGAATCTTGGCACATATCTGCACATTTTCATTTCTTACCATTAGCCAGCATCTTCTTCCCCTTTTGGCGATGAGTATTTCCATATTTCGAGTACTTGTTTCTAGTACTACTTGGACCAAGGTTAGCCTCAATGTTAGGTACATAATCCGATCTAATATCCTCATCACTTATCACTACCGCATTATTGCCAAAGCCTCTATTAGCCTGCTCCTCATAGAGTCCAAGACTTAGTAAACTCCCACTTTTATTAACATCTAGAGTCTCTCGTCTGCCAAAGGTTTTTCCGACCTTAGCTCCTACAAGGTTCCTATCTGAGAAGACTTTCTTCATCTTCGGGCTTTGTCAGGCCTGGCTCTGCTTCCTGCTTCCAAGGCACCTATTCTTCATCTCAAGTTTGTTCTGAGTCTCTCTAGCCGCCAAGCTGGCTTGCTTGTGCTTCAGCTTGGAAGAAGCCACTTTCTGGTCAACCTTGACCAGCTTGTTGAGTCTGTGCTTCAAGCTGTTAATTTGGAGGTTGAGCGACTGGATCTTCTTGCAGAGGAGAATTTTGTCTTTGTTATATTTCTTTACGTTAGTTTTCAGGTTTGCAATATATCCTTTTTGTTTCTCATATCTTCTTCGTAATTTTTCATACTCTTCAAAATCTACCTTTGCACTAAGTTTTGAAGCGTTCTTAAGATTCTTTATAGGGAAGTTACCCCTGTTAGAGTCCTTAGCCTTTGAATGAGTCGTTGAGCCACTCATTTCTAGAGAAGTCATCCGGTCTTTGGTCCTCTGATTTTCCTTAGAACTGAGTATTCCGCTTCTTTGTGTGGCATAGTCATTTGAGCTCGTGTTGAGACCAGTAAGAGCACTAGAGAGATCTATTTCACAAACTTCAGGGATAATAGGCTTTCTTTCAAGCTCTTTGATCCTATCCTTTAGTTTTCTGGTCTCCTTCAAATGGCTCTGTTCGATCATTGAAAGCTGCTGCTTATGTTGCCTCTTAAGTTCATTGATCTTCCTCTCATGGCTATCTTTGAGCTTGATTATTTTAAGAAAGCTGTCTTCATTTTGCCCATTTTTGATTCAATTTAGAATTTCTTCAAGCTTCACAGTAGACTCAGAGTACTTTTCCATTAACTCCTTAGTATCACTACTGGAGTCGGACCTCGAAGAGACTAATTTTTGGAGAAGTTCGTGATTCTGAGGACTCTCTGCCTCTGATTTAAGAGCGCTAAGCATAAGTTCATACATTTTAGATTGGCTATTTTTCCCTTTCAGTGACTTCTGCAAGCTCAATTTTCATGAGCTTAACTTTCTGTTCTAAAACAGCTTTTTCCTTATCAAAACTAGCCTCTCTGGCTTGTAACTTCTTCTGAAGGGACGATACCTGATTTTGTCCGTTCATTTTTACGCTAAATTTACAAATAATTTTTAATTAGTTGATATTTCCAACAGATTTAATTCTGAAAGGGGTTTTGGGGTTTTGGGGTTTTGGGGTTTTGGGGTTTTGGGG